TCACCCTCCGAGTAGCCGTGGCCCGTCATGTCGAAGGAAAATATCGCCACGTTCAACTGCTCCGCAAAGTTGATGGACTTCTGCCAGAAGACAGGGCTGTTCACGTGGCGCCCGTAGCTGTGGATGAGGACCATCCTGACATGCCCCCATGACGAAGGCCCTTCCGAAGTACAGTGTTCCCGATCCAGAGAAAGCGAACTTGACCCTACCGAGAACAGGGGGAACGACGGAAACCTGCAATCTTGTCATTTGGACCGGCTTTTGGTCTTGCCACGGCCGCTCGGATGCATGGCAATTTCCTACTGAACAGATTTGCGCCAACAACTGGTTAAACCATGTGTCAACCACTATTGTTTTAAACATCCTGATGTAAGTTTACTTTTATAGGCGACCGCCGTCTGTTGGATCCAGGTTGCCCAACCCAAAGGCGCGACGTCTTCGCAGTTCTGCCAAGGCGCACGCCATCCAGTTGCGTCGGCTCCGCATAGCGCAAGTGCAGCTTCTGGCCCCGACAGTTGGTCCAGAAGCGCCCCGTGTCCGGCAACGCCATGGCTCACTCGAAGTACCGAAAACGCAAAGTCCTTCTCTTTCCAGGTCCATTGTGGATGTTGCCTTGCCGCTGATTGCTGGTGAGCTGTCGTGTGCTCGTTTCTTTGCTGCCGTCTGACCGTGGCGATGATGGCTTCTGTTTGTTTGGGCTTTTTCCCATTTGGCGCATTGGGAGCCGAAGTCTGCACGGGTTGCAGCTGGAGACCAGAAGCAAAGGGTAGTTTGGATACAAACCAAAAGGCCGAGAGGGGGCCCAAACACAATCTGAGGGCTGCCAAAAACCCAATTGACCCGGGTGTCCAGCGGTCCCTTGCACCTTGAAGTCAGGGAAAGTGTGTCAAAGCCAGTAATGGAACCCCAGTGCTTCTTCCTGTTGGATCCAGTGACCATCGCAGCGTCCAACCAGTCACGCACAGTCGGCCCAAGTTGCAAGAGCTCAGCACCGCGTTGTAGCTGATGACATCTGGGGTGACTTGTGCGGTCATCCCGTGGAAAAGTGACACTGCGTGCTGCCACTTTCCGGCCTGTCCACAAAACAGCATTGGCAAACTTCCAATCCGAACTCGTTCATTTGACCCTCTGAAGCTTTCCACAAAGTGGGGGCCAACAGCAACTGGGTACCCAAAGGAAAAAAGGCCTATAGTGAGGTTTCTCTTCAACCACGGCGCGGTTTTCCAGTTGGCAATCTGCCGTCATTCAGTCAATTCTTCGGTACGACAACAATTGACCCCCTAAACCACATGACCCCTTTGGGTATGGTGGAGTCCTTCCCGCATTCCCTTAGGAATGGGGTCTTGTGTCTGGAGCTCCTTTTTGGAGCAAAGGCGACGGACATTGGTAAGAACACGCCCTCCAATGGTCAATGTTGACACTCCTCCTTGGAAAGGGAACCATTGGAATTCCTCCAGGGGGCTCTGAATGTTGAACAAAATGTCAAAAAGAAACCTTAAAAAGACCCCCGCCGCCCCTTCGGAACATGGCCGACTCCGCCGACTGCGCCGATCGCCTTCTCACAGGCGCTCAGCAAGGCATTGAAGCTGACGACGTTGGGTGTCAAACCGTCCTCCCGCAGCTGGGAGAATAGGTCCTCACTCGGCGTGTCCGAAGCCAGCTGAAGACGCAATCATCACAAGGGTAGCGTTCTTAGAGGAAACCAAACTCATCTACCCGCTTGGTTCGGTCATTGTTTAGAGGCTCGGAGCAACCCTGAGAATGGGAATGCTTCCCCATATTGACATACCCAGGGCCGAATGTGCCTGCCGTGATTCAAACAAAAGAGAGGAGATGGGGAAATCACATTTCTGACTGGGGATGTAAACAAGACGAAGTAACTCTTTGGGAGCTGTAGGTGTTTGCAGGCAAGGGTGATACGGGAACTTGTACAAGGGATGACGTTGTAGTGGCTTGCAAAGTCCTGTGATTCACACGGGCCTCAGGAAAAATCCGAAGTTGAACAATTCACCTGACTGGCCTTAGCGAAACCACCGCTTCAAAGAGTCTGCGGAAACACTCCATTTCCACGCGAACAAACATGTCAAAGGCAAGCCCCGGAGCCCCGGATGCTGATAGCACTAGAGATCCGATTCTTCTAGGTTGCTTGGTTGCTTTGCTCCCTTTTGGGCAAGGCATGGGCAAGGTTGACAAATCTTACTTTTGACAGCTTGGTGATAAACGCATGGGGTCAACGAGGGCACTTGCTAAAGTGGTCAAGGGATCGCGGAATGCATGGGGTATTTCATTAATTTCATCCACTAAAAAAGCATCTAGACATGGGTAACCCATGAAATGTGTGAAGCACATGTTCGGCACACAAGGGGATTTCAAGGCCATCAAACGGTACCCTGCTCTTAGGTTGGGGCACTTTGACAACCCCATCAAGGTGCTAACTCATCATTTTCAGGGCGAAGGAAATTCCTCTTCCCCCCAACCACCCCCCCCCTCCCCCCGATTGAGCTTGCCGGTCCAGCGCGGTGCGCCACTGCGCGCCCTTCTCACAGGCACTCAGTGCAGCACTGTAGCTCACCACCTGTGCCCACCCAAAACACAACTATTGTCATAGGTCATTGTCACAGGTTGCTTCTTCTTTTCGGGATGGGGTTCCCTTCAGTTTCGAAGCCTCTAAAGCGGACACTCGCCATCTTCTTGTGTCCGCGTTGGACGGGTTCCACATAGAAAGCAACGCACACAGAATGTCAAGAATAGGGGTACGTTCAACTTCAACCACAAACACGTTTGCTGTCTGCAAAGCAGCTGGCAAAAAAGGACTTCGTGAAGTAATCACAAGGCAACCAACAAAGGCTCGTTCAAAAGCAACCACACGAAAGGCTTTAATCAGGGTTCCACTGTTGTCCACAAGAACATTTACCCTCAAAATGATGATTGTTGGATGGTCCGGTGGAAAAGGTAAGGCTGGCTTTAACTGGTCAAACTGTATTGTTTGAGAAGTAGTGTCAAACACACAAAAAAAACATAAGACCTTCAACCGTGGCGTCTCATCTGTTGAAGGGAACCAGGTAAAAACGAATCTTCAAAGAAACAAGGAAACCCTCGAGCCAATCACTTTTTGAGGAGTCTCCTTACCCGATGGGTCCCGGCCCTTGCTTCTTTGGGGACAAAGCACACCCATCCGGAATCCTAGTTCGAGAAAGAAATACCTGTTTGGCGGCTTGATTCTTTGTTGTACGGGGAACCCACCAAACAACAAGGGAAGTTCAAACCACCCAGTCGGCACAAAAACGAAAAAAGACAGGCACCGCGAAAACTTTCTTTGCAGCTGCGCGACACTGGGATGCATGCACCTGGCCATGTCCTCAGCACGCTTCCCCGGTTGAAAACCCTTTAATAGGAGAGATACCCAAACTAAATACAAATTGCAACACAGAAACATTGTAGATTCCCAAACCGAAAACAAGGATGGTGTGAGCAACAAAATAAGGGAGATATCCAACATACGAAGGATGGTAAAGGCCAGGGGCCCCGCACAAGGGTTCTGAATGAGACTTGAAAAGGAAGGGGGCCCTTGCAAGATCCCCTGAGTTGTTGTATGGCAAATGAGCAATGTTTAAAAGCCGATACATCGTAGGACTGGATTGCAGCCAATATCAAGGTTCTGAATAACGTTGGATAAATGGCACTACAACGAGCCCCAAAGTGCAGAATAGCATAACTCAAAGCAAGATGTGCATATGGGCAAATGACCCTCCCGCCCACACGTACAGGCCATCATCTTGCGCAAACCAGTTCAAGGGTCTCGGATATGCTATCACGACATTGCATTCACGTGCTTCCATGGCTTGAATCAGAAAGTCGTTTAGCATCTTCATGTTTTTGGGTTGTAATCCCTGGAATGCACCGAAAAGTGACCAAGATTCACTACACGTAGGGGATACGTCGAATCGAGAAACAGCACGCGCGCTGACACCGTCTCAAACAGTCTTGACTCTTATAGAACAGAGACACGTTCAGGCGTGCGCAAATAACATGTATTGCAAGCAAGCCGCAACTCTTGGACAGAAACGTGGCTAGCTGAAGTCTAGTTGAACTGTCCTAAATCTACAAAACGTGGTTGACAGCAGAGATGCCATCCACTGCCATCTCATGCGAAGGACGTTCAGCCCTGACATGGTCCACGGGTCCCTCCCCGCCACTTTCTCAGCCCGAGGCTCCTGAAAGAGCGACAGCGCCAAGGGCCACAGAGTCGGGGTCTCGCAGGCGCTGATGGCAGCATTGAAGCAGATCACGTCCGGGAGCACCTGGACGCAGGGGCTGGGTGGAAGGCTTTGTTTGTTTATCTTTTTGGTGGGAGGCAGGGGGGGGAGTAGGGGGGGGGGTATTTTTGCAGGGAAACCAACAGAATCGAATGGTAGCAGAGGAGAGACCCCCATCAACTCCCGGGTCCCAAGATTCATGTCCTGCCTGGTCTTGGTCCATGTCATCCAGGAGCTGCAGGGCCACGAGCGGCTGCGAGCCCTTCTCGCACGCGCTGATGGCGGAGCTGTAGCTGATAACGTTGGGCCAAAGCAACGCCTCTGCACGAAGGCTGCGTGTTTGTTTCAATGAAACGCAGGTTCGCAAACCATTGGTAAGGATGCCATTCTTTGTTGTGCCACTGGGTTTTTGCGGGGAACACTTTCAGGACAGTGTAGTTACAACGGACCCCAAATGGCGAGGTGCTGCAGCCCTTTGTTTCTAGGAACACCCAACCCGATCGATCCCCTTTCGGGGAGTTTAGAGGGAGATTGCCTCGAAAGCGGATTTCGGGGGTGGATTTTCCATTAAGGGGATTTCTGCCAGAAGGATAAAACCCTTTTAGAGGGTGTTGGGAGTGCATGTTCGCTTTGGTGGGCGAAGAGCGCTTCCCTTTCACATGCAAAGAGGTTCAGCTCGTCTTGACTCTGTCAGGCTAACTCAGAAATATAGGATCCCCCAAAGAAAACCCCAAAACATGCCTTTCATAATACCACAAGTCCTAAAGTAAACCAAGATTGGAGGTGTGTTCGGGTGGGTAGCAGCTTTATAAGCGTCTTCTCCTCTTTCGTGGCCGACTGACAGCGCCGCTTTGCCCGCGCGCGCCCGATTTGGGCCATGGCCTCTCGCATGGCGCTGAGGAACTCCAGCGCCAGAGGCCACTGCCCAGCCTTCTCGCAGGCGCTCATCGCCGCATTGTAGGTGATGCGATCCCGCGCCACCTTTGAACGGTGCGGAGGGGTGGTGTGGACGGGAGGGAGGGCTGTTGGAGGTCAAACACTAATCAAGCCTAAGCTCAACATGCCAGAAAGCAACAAAAACAGCTCAATGGCAACCGGAAGAAACCAGACACAAAAGTTGCGAAGGAGGGAGGATCAAAGAAAACAAATGGAGGTGTGCAATTTTATATTTCAGATCCCTCATTGGGAGCAAGAACGCAGAGGAACATGCTTAAACTCAAAAATAAACGTTCGCATTGCAACCAGGCTGGTCAACCAAAGTGGAACTTCGAATTACTCTTGGGTCCGTCAAAGATGCGGTTGCCCTCACGGACATGGGACAAGTGCCCGACTCGACTCGAAAAGTGCAACCTCTACACGGGCTGCCTAAATTCCCTGTTAAGAGGTTGATGACTATTCCTACCGGCCCCCAGTACCACCCCCCAACGCCAATTTTGAGAACCCTTCAAAATGCAAACACTTGAATAGACACTCGATTGCAACCTAAGCGGAAACACAGGAAGCCTTGGTTGCTGTTGACCCTTCTGCAACAAGTGTAACTTTGTGTGGGTCCAATGGAAAATCCACTGCTTCCCAAAAAGTTAAAGTCCAAAGATCCAGCCATAAAGAAGCCTTCTGGCACCTGGCATCTTGCATCCCGGGCGCCAGATTTGCGTCCATGCTCTCAAAGAGATGGAGCGCTTGGGACCACATGCCCGCCGAAGCACAGGCGCTGATGCTGGCATTGTAGGTGATTTGGTTGGGCGCCAGCTTGGCGTCCTTGGGCCATGGTTCAGGTACTGTCGGCTTGGTGCCAAAAGCCATGTGGTTCTGGTGTTTCTTGCTTTGGGCAGGTCAACAGGCGTGAGTGGGTTTCCCCTTCAAAAGTTGGAATCGACTGGTTCGGATCACACTGCCACTGTTAGAGGTCCACAACAGGCAAAATGGTGGGACAAATTCCCTTTGAACCTACCTCTGGAGGGTGACGTTGAACATGACCAAAATGGGGCCAGTGCACCAAAAGGCTGCGGTCTGACTTTTCAGGTGGATCTCTTGCGAATACTCTCAATCATGGTTGGTATAGATGCCCATGTGAATGATGCCCACTATCCATTTCCAAAAAAGAAACAAAACCCAGGCTCTAGGGCGCAACTGGGTCTTCAACCACTCGAAAGTTCGTACCGCATGTTTCGGCACCCTCCCACTCCTGCATGTTCACCAGCAGGCGCTGCGCTTGAAGCCACTGCGCGCCCTTCTCACAGGCGCTGATCGTGGCGTTGTAGCTAATGACGTTGGGAGGCACCTGCGCCAAATGTATTTTCAAGCAGTCATAGAAGCCTACAGGAATCTCAACAGGAAATGCTACAGCACATTTGCCAAATACCCACAAAAAACCGGGATTTCCTGTCAAATTTCCTGTAGCCTCTATGAGCCAATCCTCTCACTAGGCAAAACAACTGTTCTCTTTGGAGGCTCGGCACCTGCGTTTGGGATCACCCAGAACCGGCACACTCCCCAGATTGAAAGTTCAATAGCAAGTAGGAGATAAATGGGTAATCCTGATAAGTCGACTCAGCCCTGCCCTACTCAGCAGGGTGAATTCCCAAGCGCTCGGTCATGTTGTCCCGTCTGCCTCCAATAGAATGGCAGAATAAGCCCCCGTTTCGGTCAGTAACAAGGGTGGTCCCATTGTCACCCCATCATTGACCAGTCGTTGAAAAGGTAGCCATTGGCAAGGAGCAACTCAAGTAGTGAGTAACCGGCTGTTGCGCAATGTTGTCTCCTCAATCCTCAAACGGAAGGTCCTCTAGTTCATTTGCGATTTATGAGAATCCGGACTAGCCCTAGAAGGCAGCTTTTCCTGAAGGTTGGACAAGGATGGGCTTCTTTAGGGTGAATGGGTCAATTACAGGTAGACTATGTCGTCCAAATCATGTCGGTCGAGCGAGTCCTTGCTGGCTGGCTCGCTCCTTTGCTGGCTTGCAAGCTCTGGCTTCCCTCGGCTGGTCTCTGTCTTGTCTCTGGCTAATTGGCTCACCCTTGTTGCTCAACCCTTGAAATGTGTTTAAATCGTGTTCATCATCCTGTACATCCCAACACATTGAGACTCCAGCTTCTTACACAAACTCTGCCGCTGTCATAATATGGTTTTGCACGATGACGGCACGAGACATACTCGCGGTCCCAGCCTTGTCACTCGCCATCTCTGCAAACAAAGCCAAAGCTGCAGACCACTCTGTCGCCTTCTCGCACGCGGCGATTGCGGCAGAGTAGGTAAAGGCATTGGGCGTCACCCTGGCTGACTGCATGTGATGGACAAGCTCCAGTGCTGTCATCCACTGATCGGCACAAGCACTGATGGTGGCGCTAAAGGTGACAACATCAGGAGTCGATGTTGCCTCTTCCATGGAGAAAAGAAGCTCTACGGCCGTAGACCATTGCAGCGCTTTCTGGCTGGCACCGATGGCTGGCGCGTATGTGAAACTGTTGGGAGCGACCCTCCAGACGTTCATGCAGTTCAAAAGTTCCACGGCCATGGACCATTGCGCAGCGCCCTGGCATGCTCTGATGGCGTCGGTAAAATGGATTTCTTTCAGCGACGTGCGCGGGTTCAACTTCATGTCGCTCAAGATGGCGAGAGCCAATGGCCAATTGGCTGCCCTCTCACAAGCCCTCAGCGCGGCCTTGTAGGTCATCTGATCCTGCTCGACCTGAAACAGCAATGCAACAGAGCTGTTGGTAACCGTGGAAACCGTGGAAACTCCCTGCTTTGAAGCTGTTCTCTGAATTTCCGTTTACAATCGCAAGGTTGAGCCGTTGAATCTGCCCCCGCTGCTTGTTGGCTCCACATCCTCCCTTGGCACCCTGAACTCTTCGCACAACCCATTACTTCAGGCGTCCAACGTTTCGCGGTTGCAACTAAGTATGCTTTGCTGCAATTCTAGCAACTTTGAGAACTTGTGTGCTCTTGAGAAGAAACTTAACTTTGTTAGGCAACACGTTCCTTAGCCTCTTGTCATGGCATGTCATGGCCTGCTCCGGCGAACGCTGTTTTGCTTGCCACGGGCCCAGCATTTCCAATTGGAAACCTCAAGAATTTGAGTGTCAACTGATGAGTCAATTCACAATGTAATATCGAGACACAAAAGTCTTTTAAAGCCGGAAGAATACAGCGCTTTTGATCCTGCCTTGTCAATGCAGCTTGCTGATATACATACGTACAATTATCTACAAAACCCTCCCCCCACCCCACGGCCCACACTGCCCAACCGGAAACATGTGCCTTTTCGTGCTCAGACTTGCCTGCTAAACCAACACCAGCATATACGGAGTTAATCTGATGGCGCAAAAAATGCGCGCATACTCGCGCTTCGCAGTGTCTGTGTGTGTGTGTGTGTGTGTGTCTCTGTCTGTCTGTCTTGTCTGTCTGTGTGTGGGTGTGTATGCCTCTGTGTGTCATGGAGAATCACCTCTTGAATCCGGGCCCTGCTGTGGCTCCAAACTCAAGCCCCAGCTTGGGAAGGCAAACAAACTTGCAGTGCGAATGGAACATATCGGCCAATTGCCCAAACAATGCGGCTGATCCGGCCAATCGCCCAAACAATGCGGCTGATCCGGGTTGGGATTCTCTTACACCAGGGGGTTGTAACCCAGACAATCAACGGGCATTTGCCCGGGTCAGGTGCTTTGTTGAGTTGTCCTTTGATTTTTTGCGAGGGCTGCAAGAAGTCCCAACCTGAACAAAAACTAAGTTTGATCAATGCGCAAAGGCGCACATTAGTCAATGCGCAAAAAGCGACGTTTAATGCAGTGCACTTTGCGATGCCCTGTTTCAATCACCACTGGCCCTGATTGCCTAACTAGAAACAATACGCTTCCAAACCCAGCCTTGTCACTCGCCATGTCTGCAAACAACGCCATAGTCGCAGACCACTCTGTTGCCCTCTCACATGCTGAGATCGCTGCAGAGTAGCTAAAGGAATTCGGCGTCACCCTTGCTGACCGCATATGGTGAACAAGCTCCAGCGCTGTTGCCCACTGCTCGGCACAAGCACTGATGGTGGCGCTGTAAGTGACAACATTCGGAGTCACCGCTGCCTCCTCCATGGAGAAAAGAAGCTGTACTGCCACAGTCCACTGCAGCGCTTTCTGGCTGGCACCGATGGCCGCCGCGTACGTAAAAACGTTGGCCGCGACCCTCCAGACGTCCATGGAGTTCAGCAACTCGAGGGCCATGCACCATTGGGCAGCGCCCTGACATGCTCGAATGGCCTGGGTGAACTGGAGGTCCTCTGGGTCATGTGTGTGTGTAGTCGGATTTCAAACACGCGCTCAGCTTCCTGTTGTTCCATGGTCTGCGCTCACATTTGTATCTCCAAACCAGTTGGAATGGTGGATTCATATTAGTGTCCCTTACCCAAAGCCCTCCATGGGTTCATCTCAAATTGAGGGCACCGCCAACAGTTGGCTTCCGTTTGGTCTGCCTTTTAAATCTTTAAACCAATCCACATGGATTGCCAATGGTGGATTCATATTAGTGTCCCTTACCCAAAGCCCTCCATGGGTTCATCTCAAATTGAGGGCACCGCCAACAGTTGGCTTCCGTTTGGTCTGCCTTTTAAATCTTTAAACCAATCCACATGGATTGCCTAAAAGAAGACACGCCCACATGTTGCATTTGACGATCTCCTCATCTCGGTTTCTGCCTTCGTGTTCATATCTGAGGCGCCAAAGGCAGTGCAAGGCCCGCGGCCAATCCTCAACCAAGCAAGAAACGCAACAAATGCAACAGTACTCTATGTGGGTGGGTTTAAAGGAAAGCAACAAGGGAAAACGACCCAGTCAGGTGTTCCCCATTTGAAGACAAAACCCAAACTATTCCATGCATTTGTGTTTGCCATCGACTTCTCCACATGATTTACCTAGCGTGTCCTATATAGTGACATGCGACACGGTTCAAAGACATCCCGCATAATCATCTTACCGCAAGTCAGTATACAATTCATGTCCTTTGGTTTGGATGTGAGTGACCCAGAAGTCACACAGTGGGTACATTCCTGAGGACAAGTCTATATTGAGGATCTTCTCATCGTTCCAAACTATTATACGAGCCATGTCATGATTTGCTATGTCGTATCATATTGCTTACGCCACCAGCTTATGCCAATTTGCGTTCGTGGTTTTGCTTACGCGACACATGTGGAGGCTTTGATTTTTCTTACGTCACCAGCCTACGCTACCTGCTTACGCACAGGTCGATATGACGCGACTCTTACTAAACATGTACACAGAGGTGTTGGATGCTGCTCACATGACTTGAGCTTGGAGGGAACAAAAGCACAAGCAAGCAAAAGGCACTGATTGTGGATTGTGACAGGGGGAAATCGAGCACACAATCTGCAAAATGCACAACATTACCATTTGATTACCATGGTGATTTTGGAGAAGAACAAAAAGAAAAACACAATCTTGGCTCGGCCCACCCCCACAACCCAGGATTGCTTGGCACTTCGTGGGTATTATCATATATACAATGTTCACAATGCTTTGTCACCTTTGGGGATATCTTCGTCAATAGTGTATCTCTCTAGCCACTCAAAGCTTTGTCACATGCCACCCAATCGGCCACCACTGAAAACTGATCAGCGCTAAATAATATGACTGCCTTCGGAAAAAGTGAATTTTTCACCGCAAGAAACAAGGAAAGGTCTGCAACTCCCAATCTCGCCATGCGTCCTGGCTCTTCTGGCAGGCATTCAAAGAGGCCGACAGTGTCGCCATTGCGGATGTGAAGCATGGTCAAATTCCTCTCCCTTCAAGGCGCAACACGGCCGCTGAGCTTTTGCGGCTCAACTTTGGGGAACCGGCCCACCCGTGTCCTCTCCATGCAAAGTCTGCAAGAAAACAAGAAAACAGCCATCTGCAGGTTCGCGGCAATGGGCATCTCTTGAGCCGTTGAACCTGTCAACTTTCAGTCCTTCAAGTCCAGCGCTCACTCTCCTTGCAGTCCGAGTCAAGTCCAAAAAAGCCTCATCTTTCTGGAAAATCTCCCCGCTTGATTTGCAGCAAGCGGGCATGCACGTAGAACTCATTTCTGGCTGGAGCTGGCAAACATCGACTTGAAAGCACTCCATGCCTTCGAGGGGGGGAGTGTCACCTGGGAAAGGGACCGGGTTGCGAGGGAAAAGGCAATCCTTGCCTTTACGGAGTTCCCTGCTTCTAAAACGCTGAGCCGTCCTTCCTTGCTCGAAGCCAGCTGCCTATCATGTTGGCGTCCTGAGCTTTCGAAGGCCGCACCAACAGCTTCATGAGACAAGTTTCATCAAGTTTCTCTGCCATTCGCGTGCGCAGGCTCGATAAGGCTCGCAGCTCGTTGCATTTAGCGCTGTCAGCTCACCAGCGTCGCCACTTCCGCAGCTTGCCAACGGCGCTTGGAGCTGTCCACAGCCCGAGAAAGAGAAGCTCGCACCGCATCCGCAAGCTGTTGGTACGAACTCAACTTGCCACTTCTGCCACGCCAGCCTCAATCGAAAGCGCCGCAAAGCAAAGCGCCGCAAAGTAAAGCGCCGCAAAACAAATCCTGGCAGGCGCATGCAAAAAGGCCTTACCTCCGGGTTCCTGTTGGACGTCAATCAAAAGCCCTCCACCATGTTGGAACACCCTCTGTGACAAATTTGCACTGTAGAACGGCTTGCCGCCGCGCACAAGAACGCGTTTCAGGGCCGCCTCTTGTCGTATACCAACGAGCTGCCTGTCAGAACCAGAAATCCTGGGGCCCCAATAGGTCGCCAACATGAAACCGCGTGAAGGAGTCTGTGGTTTTACATCATCTGCACAAGTTCCTATCAGCCACCAATTGGAAATGGGCACACCTTGACAGCCGCTTTCGACTGATGTCAATCCAAGCGGATTATGATTAAGAATTTAGATTCTTTGGTTGAAGCCACCACCAAAGTAGCAAAGTCGTCAACTAAAAGCGTACACATGAAAATCATGATGGGAGGGAGTTGGGCCCTAAAAGCACATTATATTGCCTGCTTCACTTTTAGTCGCCAGCAAAATGCAACGTGAACCGTATAGGTCCTTCGAGGCATCTCCCGCGTTTAGGCCGTGAATCAGTCGTCAACATTGAGATTTTGAACGTTCCAAACCGAATATCGTTGCGTGGGGACCCTGGTGGCCATCAGTTTTTTCAAACAGAAAGGGGTCCCAATTTTGGACCCTGGTGCCCTTTGATTTCCTCCCAAAAAGGGTCACAGAAGCGTCCAAGAAGCGTCCAAACAAGAGCTTAGTGAACAACCTTTCAGACTTAATGACGTCGTCCATCAATCCGGATGTGGAAGTCATGTGTTTTCCGACATGCAACTCAAGTGCGGGTTAACTTTGGGAAGTGCGATGTTGCGTGGTGGTGCATCACCTCAGAACTTTCAACCTCTTAAAGTTCCAAAAAACATGTTAAAATCGTTGCTACCAGTTTAAACCTAATGGGGAATGCCTCAAACTTTTAGGTGTATCCACCAAATCTTACTGTCCAGGGTACATGCTTGGCCAAGTCCTTGAGAAGGTGCAGGCCGGAGAACCCGCGCTGGGCCGCTTGTGAAGCACCTGGGATAGTGTGTGTGGGCATGTTTTTTGTATTGACACGGGCCCCTCGCAAAATTGAACGCAGATCACAAACAAAGCCATGTTTGGATGTGTCTCAAAACTAGGGTGCTGCAAAAATTGGTTGGGTTTCTTTTGGTTTGCCTTAAAAGCGAAAGCTCCTCCAAAAAACACCCGTTTTGACAGAACCTCGCCTGGGACACACGGAGCCGCCGGCCCCGCACACTGCTCAGCCACTCGCGCCGGGCAACGGAGACAAAGCAGCTTCGGCGCCGCCTGCATCTTGGTACCAGCGCACCTCCGGTGGCGGGTGGGTAGGAGGGACGGACATCGAAAGGGGGAGGCAGTTTGGGCGTTCTTGTCAAGCTAGATTTTTAAACATGCGTGAAAACTAAACGACCACCCTCAGCCATGTGGGATACTGCCTGGACTGCGTGCACGCACACACACGCATGCAGGCACACACACACACACACACACACACGCACGCACGCACGCACGCACGCACGCACGCACGCACGCACGCACGCACGCACGCACGCACGCACGCACACGCGCGCACGCACGCACGCACGCACGCGCACACACACACACACAAACACACACAAACAAACAAACAAACAAACAAACAAACAAACAAACAAACAAACAAACAAACAAACAAACACACACACAAAATGAAATACACACAAAATCCACACACACAAACACACACACACATACACAAGCACACAGACACAGACACAGACACAGACACGGACACAGACACACCCACACCCACACCCACAACACACAACACACAACACACAACACACAATACACAACACACAACACACAACACACACACACACACCCGCACCCACACACACACACACACACACACGCGCGCACGCGCACGCGCACGCGCACGCGCACGCACACGCACGCGCACACGCACACGCACACGCACACGCACACCCACACACACTTGAACTCTCAACGGAGAAGCTAATCCTTCGAGTACAACTGATGAGTCTCGAGTGGGTGGGTTTTCGAGTACAACTGAAACAAAAGTGCAAGTCGAAGTGGCTATGTGCGTGTAAAACTAAGTTGCAGGTACGTCAATCTCGTGTCCGAGATTGATATCACAGGCAAGAGCAAAGGTCTTCGTTGGTGCCAGCCTTGCTCTGCCCCTGGCACCCCCTGCATTTGGTCTCAGGGTATTCTGAGACTCCGCACACACACGCCCCTCAATGAGGGGCGAGTGACTCTTTATCCATGGAAGATGCAGTCAACCCTCAAAAACACGCGCCCGAAAGACGGACGAAGACCCCAACGGAAAACAAACGGAGCAAGAAAGAAAAGAAACAGAAAGCCCCACGTTGGGTCTCCGCGGGCAAAACCCCAAACAAGAAACACGAAAACCAGGAGAAACCAAGTTTAGGGTCACCGACAAGGGCAAAAACCCCAAACAGTCCCGAAAACCCTCCTAAACCTCGAAGACGAGAGGAAGAACAGGCCATCCCTAAACGGGCGTAGAGGAAGCACAGGGGAAAAGAGAAAAAGAAGGGGGGGGGAAGAACGAAAGAAAGAGAGAAAGAAAGAAAGAAAGAAAGAAAGAAAGAAAGAAAGAAAGAAAGAAAGAAAGAAAAAAAGAAAAAAAGAAAGAAAGAAAGAAAGAAAGAAAGAAAAAAAGAAAAAAAGAAAGAAAGAAAGAAAGAAAGAAAGAAAGAAAGAAAGGAAGACAAAGGGGCCGAGATGCGTATTTAGGGCGCCGCAGCCCGCGCGGGGGAAAAAAGGAGACAGGAAAGAAAAGAGAAGAGAAGGAGACAAGGGAACAAAAAGAAGGAAAAGGGGGGAAAGGGGAAAAGGGGTTAGTATGCGTTTTTAGGGTGACGCATCCCGCCCGGACAAAGACAGAGGATGAAGACCAAGGCGTCGAATCCCGCAAGGGGGCCAAGAGGACGAACACGAAATTGCAACGGAAGGAGAGGAAGACGTCAAGCCAAACTGCGTGAGGAGAGCGAGGAGCAAGAACAGGTAGACAGGCAGGAAGAAGACGACGAGGAGAAAGGTGAACAGCGCGAAGACAAGCAGGCCATCCCTAAGCGGGCCAAGAGAAGGAGGACGAACGCGCGGGTCAGGAACAGCAGGAAGAAGAGAGCGGGAGGGAGGGGAAGCCATCCCTAAACGGGCGAAGAACAAGAAGACGGACGCGCGGACGACGAAGGCGAGGAACGAAGGTGTGAAACGTTCTATGATCTGGTGGCTGGGTTACCTTTAGTGAAACGTTGAAACGGTTGAAATTGCAAATACGCTGGTCTGATGATCAGTACGATGAGGTCAAATTGTCCGGTAAAACCGGCCCGGGGTCACACGATGGGTACACCCGAGGATCCCCTGTATCGGGGTGGACACACCTGAACTTCCAAGGGAGAAGCTAAACCTTCGAGTACAACTGATGAGTCTCGAGTGGGTGGGTTTTCGAGTACAACTGAAAGACAAGTGCAAGTCGAAGTGGCTATGTGCATGAAAAACTAAGTTGCAGGTACGTCGTACGTCAATCTCGCGTCCGAGATTGATATCACAGGCAAGAGCAAAGGTCCTCGTTGGTGCCAGCCTTGCTCTGCCCCTGGCACCCCCTGCATTTGGTCTCAGGGTATTCTGAGACTCCGCACACACACACACACACACACGCACACGCACACCCACGCACACACGCACGCACGCACGCACGCACGCAAGAACCTTTGCTGGGGAGTGGGGATTTTTCGGGGCCCAAGTAGGCACAATGGGAGGAATAAGTCTTCAAGGACCAAGTATTTCTGTGTAACCCGAGTTGGGCCCGATCATATTGGCCCCACTTGGTAGTTGACACCCATTTGGGGTATTTCCAAACGCACAGGCGACACCGAAGTTTCTGATCCCTTTTTCGTGGAGGACATTTAGTGGCTCGTCCGTCCACCTTACTGTGGATGGACGCGAAATCCAAATCCCGCACCATTCTCAGAAACACAACGGTTTCTGTTTCAATTCCCAACGTAAATGCCAACAAACGTGCTGGTTTCAACCATGGTTCATTTCGCGGATGTTGTCCACTGCACGTCCCTTGGATTGGTTTGGGTTTGGCATTTTGGCTTGAATGCAAAAGCCTCGAAGTGGGCTTCAAGTTTGTGGGTGTAATCCCAGGAACCGTTCTGCAACACTCATAGAAGTAGGCGTGTCCACTTTCAGTTGTTGAAAAAAGGGACAAATTCAACAACCCCGTATCTTGGCCCACATTTGGAGCACGCAGAAAATATGTCAGATTATGGTTCATACCTCGTCAACCCCAAACTATAATGTTTGGAAGAGACACCAGTACCTGTGGGCGTGCCAAACTAAGAAAAAAAGACTCAAACAAACAAATGATTTTCTTTTCGGCTCTCCTCTAAACCAACCTAAAAACCGGGCCCCGTTTGGCTTCTTTCCGGTCCGATTTATGTGATGGACATTTCGAATCGAGGCGCTTGGAGTCGAAGCGAACCTTGGCGATTCCCTCGAAGGCCTTGTTCAAGTGGGGCTGCACCAGCGTGGGATCCTACCACGTTGCGTGTCAGCAATCGGTTCATCTGGGTGCCGTGGCTTTTGTAGAGTTCTCGATCCATTTTCTGGTGGTTTCGCAGGGCAAGGGATCGCTTCTGAGGGCACCGCACCCTACGATCCATTTGACAAGGCTGGGTCAAAAAATGTGTTTTTGGTTTTTATCGTTTGTTTTTTTTGCGGGGGCCCGAAAATTGTAATTGTAATTTTGGTGTTTCATTCAAAATTCAAACCACACAATGGTGGGGGAGTGCCCTCAAAATATAGACACACCCAAATGGGACCTTTGTCAACAGTGCCCCCATGTCAACTTTGCCCCTCCAAGGTAACCAACTGCGTGAGCGATGGATGCAGCCTGTAATGGGGAGTCATTGAATGGCTGTCAAATGGTTTGATACTTAATCCACTAGCCTTCCATGTGTGGCTCCACGAAGGTGGACTTACTCCACGGTTCTCAAATTTGAGTTCTGGGAGGCTCGAAACCAAGCGAATGGCATTCAGGACACCTACCGACCTGATGTCCTTGGTCTCGGCCAGGATAGACAGAAGGTCTGCGTCGTTCAGGAAGAAGAAGCGTGGGAAGTAAAGCCTAGCGGGGCACTAGGAATCAGGTCAGCCTCATCTTTGTGGTTTGGAGGTTGGCGGTTTCTCATTTACCCTTCACGAACCAGGGGTCAAAGCCCCAAGCCACACCACCAATGGGTTGTCTGAAAGACATCAGAGGTCTCAGAAAAAAACTCCATGGAATTGGAAGGAAGAGACGTCAGCTGCAAAACCCACGGAAGATTTCCCCCCCAAAAAAACACAAGAGATAAAGGCCACTCATGAGGTTAAAAAACCACGTACCATGCAAGCCATTTCCAACCACAACCAGGGATGGCCGAAGCTGGCGCGTGCTTGTACCCTTGGTTTCGGCATGCGGGAACCCGCCCGTGGAACTTACCAAATAAGCATTCAGACATGGCAACAGCTGCCACGGGTTTGGTTTCGTTCCATTTCCTCCCCGGCAAACCCGTGCCAGGGGGGGGGAAGAACGGACGTCACCCCACCCAAGTGCACCTCTTGGTCTCCAAGTAATCCTTGAGGCCCTTCTGCACCTTCTCGATGGTGGTGTTGGCCTCTCTGTGTGTTTTGAAGCGAGGACACCAGGTGTCCGGACACAACCATGGAACAAACTCGGCCAACCTGGCCACGTTCTTTCTATCCCTGACAACGGTTCTCTGAATCTGATGACCACAGCTACGACCTCGCGTCCTCCCTACCACGACTCGTTCCTGGACAGGTTTGCTCTCTGGGGGCCATTTCTCTGGTGGGTATTTCTCTGGTTCCATAATGGTTGGTGGGTTCCATGCTAGCCCTACCTTACTGAAACAAGGTAGTAGAGAATGAGCTGCTCAAATGATCAACTCCTCGTGAGGTGTTGGGACGCCTCCGTCATGTCTTCCACAATGTTCTCGATCTTCGAGATAGCAATGCAGTTCCTGAGCAAGAACAAGGGTTCCCTAAATGACCTCTTAAGACATCAGCGGGAAAATGATGTTTTAAAACCACCCAAAGGGGCAAATAATGGCCCCTGCTAACCAGCGGAAAACCCGCCCAGTAAACATCATGACAACTTTATCACAAAGGGTCCCTGGGCCATGGAATTGGTCCTATGCAATGGTTTCCACAACCATGGACAGCATGCCCAGAAAAGGTTCTGAAGGAACGAAGCTTCTACCCCAACAAGTGTGATTGCCCTTGTGGTGTCACTTCAAAAGGGTACAACTTTGAGTAGTTTGATTGCATTGATTGAAGTGTTTGGCTCGAAAATAGTGAGTTGGATTCAAACCAACCTGAAAAGGGTACCAATTTAAAGAAACAACAAATGCACCCGAAACCCATGGGCAAGCTGCTTGTTGGAGTCCACCCGTGCCATGCGCATCCGGAAGTTGCTGTCGATGCGGGCGAAGGATTCGGACTCCTGGCACCGGGTCAGTTTGGGGTCAGTTTGGTACGTAGCGACTCCATGAAAATATCAAAGCCACGCCCCAACCCAGCGGTAGCTTCACTTTTTGGTAACCATCAGAAACAGTAAGCATGATGGGCGAGGCATAGATGGCTAGGTGTTAAGCCTTTTTTCGTGCACACAATTCCTGTAGTGTCAGCCCCGGATGAATCAATGTGGAGCATGAATAGTGGATTCCGACTCCCAAGCAAGCTCGGCAGTACGTCTTAAATTCTTAAATGGGACCCCCCCACTGAAACATCAACCCGGGGTTCATTGATTGGCTGGGTTCTTAGCAATTTGTAGCTGGTCTCTTAGATTTAGGCGCTCACCGTAAACATCAATGGTGGCCCGTTTTGTCCTATAGTGTCCTTCACATCATTCGTCTGATTTTTGGAGTTGGCGCCCTTTTTCGGGGTTCTTGTTTTTTTTTGTTCTTTCTCCGGGAAACATGTGTTTTTTGACGTGGCCGTGCCGGGAGGTTGGTATAAGGGGTATGAATCGCAGGTATGGTTCGGGGTATGGCTCGGGGGTATGATTCGGGGTATGGCTCGCGCGCCTCTGAACTCTTGCTTTGTGGCTTTGGACGCTGCAAAGCTCCCGTGCGCTGGCAACTGGATAGCCGTGAGAATGTGCGTGGCCTGAACTAGACAGCTGCCGCTCTGGGTTAGCGAAAGCTGCTGCGCTAGGTGGAAGGCGCAGGGCCACTGCCTGAGGCGAACGTCATGGCCACCTCCACTTGGAGTTCAAGCGACCCGCGTGCTCACAGACCCAAGCAAGCGTTGCTTAAGGGGAAGCGCCGCTGCCCAGTCAGGCCCGCCACCCGCACCAGTCACGAACCAGCGTAAGGGCAAGACAGCGTGACATCCTCAAATTGGAGCCGCGCAGAGGCTAGTGGGCCTCTCACAGGTGGTGTACCGTGTCGCGCTTGATACATCGCAGTAAGCCTTCCGAACCCACCTTCTCGCGAACTTCTGCGAAAAGAGCCGCGAGCTGGTTCCTGCAGTGCTTCTCTTTGAGTTTTGTGTCTTCTGAGGATTTGGGCGGCATAGCTTCGCTAGTACTGCCCAGAGCGCAAGAGGCTCTTGGCTGCAAATGGCAGCAGAAGGGTATGAATCGGGGTATGAATCGGGTATGAATCGGGGGTATGAATCGGGGGACAGATTTTTTTTCGACCGGAAAGACACCAAGAGTACCCCAGGAGCACAAAGACAGCTTGTGTTTCACTGCGACAGTGGCCCAGGACAGACAGCTGTTTCCACCGCGTCGGACAGACTGCAGGAAGCAAGCTCCAAGCTTCAAGCTCAGCAGCGGCGCCCCCCGCCACAGCGCCCTGCAACTTACGTCAAGCTGCACCCCCCCCGCCACAGCCACAGCGCCACGGATGCTAGACAACTCTAGTACCAGGACATCTGCAGGATTGCTCTATAACTCCATCCATTGGCAAAAATGGCCCCCCACGAGTAGTGTGAGTGGACATGTCAACTGTACTTGGCCCCATGACATCAGAGCCAACCATGCAAGCATCGCAGACTCAAGGATAGATCCAGGAACCACAACAAAACCAGGTATTACCTCGGAGTCCCTACCCCCTGGCATCGGTCCACATATCAAGCTCTCTAACACTGTTTCTTGACAAGACCCCCTTCTTCACTTGAAGTTAAACCCCCTATACCTTCCAGCTATCCATGGATCACATGCAACTGCCACAGTTCTTGCAAGTTCTTTTTTTGTGCTTTTTAAGGGGTATGACTCGGGGTATGGCTCGGGGGTATGGCTCGGGGTATGATTCGGGGGTATGGCTCGCCCAAGCCCCACCTCCCACGAAGACTAAAGAACTGACACGGTAAAAAAACACAGACCCAAATTGACACACAAGAAAGCGGGTGCCCTTTTTGGGGTTGCCCGTTTTGTTTCGGTTGAAACTAAGTGGCTGCCGTTGGTGCCGTTTTGGGGTTGGGTTTCTGCTAAAGGGACCTTACCCACGCCTGAGGCAGCTGGCGCTTGATATCGTCGGAGGCGAAGATGGGCTCCAGAGCCATCCAGGACCTGAGCGGGGGGCCATAAGAAAAAAGGGCGGGACCTTCCTAGTGGTCTCACTTCAAAGCTTTGGATGGCCACTAGCATAGGTGTCCTTTTGGTGAAATAGATGGCCCTGGTACATGTAACAAAACCAATCTAAACCAGCGCCATCTATTTTTGTGCCAAACTCAGCTGAAAAGGACACCCATGCTTCCTAGTCTAACATGAAAGCTCCCAGGACCCCGGAATGGAAGATTTGGTCCCATTTACAGGATCGGCCAATTGGGGGAGCTTCCATGTTTGTCTGGGGGAAAGAATTGGTGCCACTGAACAACTGAGTAGTGGTCTCACTTCTCTTTTGAAGCCATCCAACAAGGGGTCCATTTTGAGAAAGCTCCATAATTTGTGTGCAGGGTCAAACCCAAATGTGGGTCATGGTCATGGCTGCGTCTTCCTCAAGGGAGTCTATGACCGACACTAAGCCCTGGTAGAAAGGTGGGAAGGTCAACCACCATTGGGGTCCCTCCAAATTTGGCACAAAGCCATGTACGATTGACACAAACCCGTGTACGATTCAAAGCCTTGGCAACGGGAGGCAGGTCATATCCAAAACCTAGCACAGCGGTCTACCCAAAACCGTGTAAAGAAACCAAAGAACGGATATCGGCACAACGTTGTTTTGGTTGGGACCCTCCTCTACTAACCTTCACTTGCCCGAATCGGTTTCGGTTCTGGCTGAGGCAACTATATTGGGAACCCTGGCTGAATCACCCCCTGCTTGTTTAATACCGGGGTGTCCCCTTGCAATAAGGGTTCATCACTTTTAGATCCCCTGGCTCTGAACCATTGAATCACATGACTCGCAGTCGGGGTCATGTTTCAAGGGCCTGTTGGAAAACAACTGTCCTCCTGAGTGTATGTTTGTCGAGATAGAATACGATGGAGGAATGTGGCGTACCTCATGCTTGAATCTTTCCAGAGGCAACGCTGACGCCTTGCAAGGCCTGAAGCTATCAAATGGAGAAAGAACCCAACATGGTGTAACCAAGGCGTCTCGAAACTGCATCTGGGAGCGATTTTTCAACGAAACCCCTTGAAGACCCCGAAACAAGGGCACCTGGTTGTGACTAGCTATAGGTTCCATCACACTGGGGACGGATCCGACCGAACGGTAAGCAACTACGCTGGTTGCAAGGAACAACCCAACGAGTTGAGAAGGCAAGTCTGGCAATGCTTAGATGGATGTCGTTCATGTTTCGAACTGCCTTCCAAATGTCATTTGCTGACTCCGCGCCTAGAAAAGCCATTCCAACCCAAGTGCGGGCCATGGAGGATCATTCGGCTATGTCCTTCCTGTGGCTCAGGGGCTCTGAATCAGTCTTGGAATATGGCTGACATAAGCTCAAAATGGTTGCAGAGTGGCCTCTGCAGCGCGATCACCTGGTCAATGAAGTCCTGCCCAGCAGAACTCGGTGCCATGCTGATATGTATGTATGTGTACATATTTCTATATACATGCATGATACAGGCATACACCCCAAGTGGCCGCCTCGCGGACAAAAACAACAAAGTTCACATCGGACTCTCTAAGTGGAACCATTGATTGCGCTCCGGTTGATTGACACGGGCCAGTGCACGCACGCACGCACACACGCACGCACGCACGCACGCACGCACCCGCGCACCCGCACACCCCCGCACCCCCGCACCCACGCACCCACGCACCCACGCACCCACGCACACACGCACCCACACACACACACACCCACCCACCCCACCCACGCACGCACGCACGCACGCACGCACCAATAAACACACACACACACAAACACACACACACACACACACACACACACACACACACACACACACACACACACACACACACACACACACACACACACACACACACACACACACACACACACACACACACACACACACACACACACACACACACACACACACACACACGCACACGCACACGCACACGCACACGCACACGCACACGCACACGCACACGCACACGCACACGCACACGCACACGCACACGCACACGCACACGCACACGCACACGCACACCACACACACACACACACACACACACACACACACAACACACACACACACACACACACACACACACACACACACACACACACACACACACACACACACACACACACACACACACACACACACACACACACACACACACACACACACACACACACACGCACACACAAACACAAACACAACCACAACCACAACCACAACCACAACCACAACCACAACCACAAACACAAACACAAACACAAACACAAACACAAACACAAACACAAACACACAAGCAAACAAACACACACACACACAAACAAGCAAACAAACACACACACACACAAACAAGCAAACAAACACACACACACACACACACACACACACCCCGGCAAATTGATCTGCAACTGATAGATGGGTGTCTCAAGTGTTTGCACGCCTGCACTGAAGACTAAAGGGAGTACCCCCTGAAGAACGGCACAACCAAATGATGTGCGAGAGGAGGGAAGGGCGCGCGAAAGAAGCAGATCTCACAGTGGAGAAACACTGCAGCGGGCTCTGAGAACCAAACGGTGAATGGAGTACACTGAGGCACAGTTGGCTCAAGGGGTCGTTCAACCGAAAACAGCCCGTGGCCAACAGTCGTGCAGTTCGAACTTCGCTCAGGAATCATGGTGGCTTTCTAGAACTCTCAAAGGCTTGGCCCCCAACATTCCCGTGGCAATGTCCTGCTGAAGCTTTGTCCGGCAATGCAACACCCAACCATACAAGTGGAACATGACTCTGGGATACCAAAGGGTACATAAGTGAGCCACACTACTGCATCACTTTAAAGGGAAATCTTAGTTTGATAGACCGAAGCGGGAAAAAACAACTCAAATTGGGTTGCTCACAATGGGGCATCCCCAATCTGTAATCCGTAGTTGTGGGGCGCTGGGGCGCCACTACAAGGAAAACAAACAAACACATCTGGCATAAGATTTTGAACCCCAGGTCAAATTCCCCGCAACTCTGCGCCCCACCTCGGCGCTTGTTAGCGGGGCACGAGGAAGGCGCCTGAGCGGCATTCGATTCGCGCAGAATGAGTCCCTTTCAAGCCCTCTGGCCCACAATTCGATAGGCTCTTATCCCAAACCATCAACGGTCTGACTCCATGGGTTTTACCTCTGAAATCTCACTGGGCACGCCGACCCCATCACCGAAGCCCAGAAAGTCTTTCAGATCGCTCCGCCGCTGGCCCGCAATGCAGGCGCCTCATCTCGTAATCTGCCAGAATCCGGCGCTCCAAACATCGACACACCCAGCATTTTTGGATGGAGTATACTGAGATATACTGAGTATAGAACCTATTTGTGACAGATGAGTGCATACTTGAGCGATCAAGTTGCCACCAAGTGGGCCTGGGTTCCTGCAAAGAAGCATCTGGTGAAAAGAATATTGTGGCCAGCGTTTGAATGGCTCGACCTATACCAAAATGAATCATCGAAATCATTGTTCTGGATTGTTCTGGCTGACCGGCTGACCACCATTGATTGGTCTAGCACGAGTAACATGCTATCACAAGACCTCCGAAAAACAAGGGATTATGTTCCCCTTTCTCCGTACGAGCATGATGGTCTACTGTTAACACGAGGAGGTATCGCTATGCCAATGACTCCTAAATCTCCTAACCATCCATCGGCAGCCATCAGTGACCTTCGCACTACTTTCATCAATCATCAACCAATATAATAATAATTCTGCATTAATGAAGTATCTATTGTTGGCCAACCACTTAGCATCCATAGACCATCATTCCCGAGACCTGAACCAGCCATAAATCACCCATCATTTCAGCTTTTTTTTGGATGGTTCTGGCAATGGACTCTCAACCCCTCCGGCTACCATCCTCCTTCTGGAGGAAAATCAGCTTTGCTGAGAGCAAAACGGGGCGTTTCGACCATGATGCCGTTTCTGAGATCCTTTTGGACTCAGGTGGCCAAAAACCAAACATGCACCTTCTGATGCAGATTTGCAATCGCTTTCATGAGCTTCACACGGCGTCTCTGCCGTTGACTTTCTCAAATTCTTGTTGCAGAATCTGATGAATCATGTCTTCATGTCCTCCAACCACTTTCAGCCTTGCAGACATCCTCTTCTCGTTGTACACCAGCGAGCGGATGTAGACCAGCGCCAGAAGGAAGAAGAGGATGATTCCCGTGAAGAAGCAAAGAGATGCTATGGGCTCTTTATTGCCCACTACTGCAGCCAGGGGGATGGAGACTCCTCCCAGTAGAAGGCAAATGATGAGAGAAAGGTCCACCAATTGACTAGGATTCAGGTTCATGAAGAAGAGAAAGTCATCGGCATCATTCACATAGTGCGCCATGTGGATTAGCAGAAGGATGGTGAGCACCACCGTAATGAGCCCGAATATAGTGCTGATGTACAACATACAAATCAAGACCTTGTTCATGTTCTCACGGTGGTCCGCCCACATGTCATTTTCGGTAATCGTTCCAAATGGTTGGTTGATGGCAGAGAATAGAACGCTGAAAACCAGTGCGGCTACCACCCCCATGTTGATCCATGCATTTGTCTTGTTGGACATTGCCTCCCTCCATCCAATGTGAAGGACGGTGCTTGCCATTTTATGCTGACCACCACCTGCTTTCAACATGTTCTTCAGCATCTCAAGAAGTGCAGCCGGCTCATCAGATGACTTGAGCATCTCGTTGGCGTTGTTGGCCAACACTTCTTGCCAGCCAGCGGACACTGTCTCTTTGGCACCCGCATTTACCACCATTGGCATCGGCATGACACGACTTTTGGCTGGTGGCTGAGGGCAGTGACACCTCCAGGAGCCAAGTTAGGAACTTGAGCCAACAGTCGATCGCCAATCCAGCCGCCCTTCGGCAGCGTCGGCCTCACCCGTCAACTCTCTAAGGCTCTAACCGCATGGCCAGCATCCCAGCAGGTACAGGCCACAGCATGCCACGGCTTGTCGCACACCTTTCCTGGACGCGCGCGCCACCGGCACTAGGAAGAAGAAATTGTGCTTGTTCATAGGTGAGTGATAATAGGTGTAGTAGATTCACTGGTTGGTTGGTCATCATGATCATGATGATGGTGATCATCATCATCATTATCGTCGTCATCATCCCTCACAAACATGCATTGATACCTTCCAGATGTTAGCATTCGCCACAACAACACCCTCGCGCCAAGACTCCAGTATGGCAAGATGCCCACGGTGTCCAGGTGTAGGCCAAGCAAGCTGGCCTTGGATGCCAGCACCCATGACATCAACACGTGGGCATTGCAATCAGTGTTGATGGTAGAATGATGCTTAATGATGGTATAATGATGCTTAATGCTAACGGTTGGTAATGGTATGACAATGATATACTAAATGTTGATAATGATGGTATAATGATGGTATAATGATGGTATAATGATGGTTGAATTATGGTTCAATGATGGTATAATGATGCTTAATGCGAATGGTTAGTAATGGTATGACAATGTTTTTCTAAATGTTGATAATGATGGCATAATGGTGGTACAGCGATGGTATAATGATGGTATAATGATGCTTAATGCTAATGGTTAGTAATGGTATGACAATGATATACTTATGTTGATAATGATAGTATAATGATGGTATAATGATGGTATGATGATGGTATAATGCTGGTAAAACGATGGTATCATGATGCGGATGTGGATTCCAAAGGCTGCTGGTCTTTGCAGATGACGAGCTCGCACTCGCCTGCTACGTTGAGATGGCCAGGAAGCTAGCTTCGAGGTGAGCAATTCCAATTCACCTCTGGTTGTCACCCCCCTGCCTGCAACCTTGTACGCTTTCGAAAGTTTAGACCCAAGCCTCACTCCTGGCCAAGCTACGATTGTAGCCCTCAGACAAATAGAGGGCACGGTCCACTGAAAAAAACCACTGTGACATGACATCTGCGGCCCCTGATGCAATGTTGCTGCAATATATTGGGCCTCGGAACCAGGGGTTGCGCGCTTGACTTCAACATTGTATAACTGAGGGACGAGGGTCCGCACGCAGCGGGAGATGCCTCAGAAGTTGTGTCAACATCCACTTTGGTGGCACTTGCTTGGAAGAAAAAGAAACCCTTCTTGGTCTTCCAAGTCCCGCAAATGCCAACGAGTTTCACTTGTCTGGGCTGCTTTAGAAGGCAAGCATCTCCGAACCCTTGCGTGTTTGCACATTTGTGGGTTGATGTCCAAGGCAGATGTCTCCAAAGTCTTAAGAGACAGTGCGGAGCATCGGGCGCAGTCACAAAAGACGACGGAGAGTCTACGCGAGACGTAACCACCAGGCGGAACACAGGCGTTGTGGGAAGACCCTTGACTGAAAGGGAATGACGCCTTCCAATAAAAGAAGGGGAGCCAAACAACGTCAATCAAACCCTTGCCGTAGTGGGTTCGGTGGAACTGGCGGGTTCTCAGCAACAAGTTCATTCTTAACATGTATGTGCTTGCCGAACATAGGCTTTGGCCCATCCATATGCAATGTATACATACGCTCGTTTATGCTACAAATGTGGCATTCGGACGTTGAACTCATCGCCACGGCTGTCATTCCCTTCTCAACTGTGCGCAAAAGACCTGTAGGTCATGGGCTGCGAATGGTGTACTTGTTTTGTTAAGGAATTCCGAGTGTCCGGGCATGCTTCTTTTTACTCCAAGCGTCACTGGCAGCGTCTGTTGCTTGCGGAGTGCAGATCACGTTGTGAAACGTCAAACGGCACATGTTCTAGGTAATTAAGTGAAAGTGGTACAGGCAAAAACATCCAACCCCTCCCCTTTCAGCCCTCCCATCCAATTGATTCCCAAAATGACTCCCGGAAAATCGCAGACTGCGAAAAAAACCTGGACCTGCCAGATTCCTTTCCACCCCGTTTTTTGCCTGGGCAGCCCTGCCAAGCACCGCAGCAGCACCCCGAAGCACTGATTGGATTCCCAAGCATTTGCCAGCTTCAAGGGAGGCCACAGGAGTGACCTCCGGGAATTCACTTTGCAGCAAACCC